ATTTTAATATAATTGTAGTTTTTAAATTTAAATTGTAATTTTTAAATTTAAGTTATTATAGTTTTTTAAATTTAAATAATAAATTATGTTTGACCTTTTGGACCTCGGTTGGAGATGATTTTTTATGACATGGCTAAAACAAGCCCTATGGTCCTTTGATCCTCGGTTGAAAATGGTAAGAAATATGACCATTTACTGTTCATTAAAATATTAATATCTAGAAGGGCCAGATGACTAAAACGAGACCTCTAACCAAACTTCGATTGGAGATGGCCTAAATGACTCCCAAGTTCGAGGTTGCGAAACCAAAGAGCAAATAAAGCATACGGTAAAAGGCTGTATTGTACCAATGGCACATTGTAAAAACTAAATTTTAAACGCATCGCATTGCCATAAAAAGCAAATATAGCTCCCAGTACAAATTAAAGAAAACCAAACTAATGCTGGAGTACTGATACAGTGCAACTACTAACAAAACTGTCATAGCCACAATGGAATCGCTTGGAACCAAATAAAAAGATGATACAGCTTGAACTTAAATGATCCCGATCTTGTTGGCAACATCCAACGCATCATAGTCCGGTGTCAACCTGACGTAAGCCTTCTTCGTTCCATCAGGCCTGCATAACACAGGTCATACGTTAGATAAAGCTTCACGAAATCCTCAATTAACCTAAGGAATGTAAACTTGTTGGTTCCAGCAAGAAAATTTGTTTATGAACTTACTATAACACTGATACGCAAACAGAAACATTGATTACAAAGATACGCACACAAAAACGAGTATAAATCCATAACATCTACCATTCTACCTGATCAAGGTGTTCACTTTCTTGGTCTGAATGTCGTACATCTTCTTCACTGCATCCTTGATCTTCTTCTTGTCCGCTCGGATGTCAACAATGAAAACAAGGGTGTTATTGTCCTCAATCTTTTTCATTGCAGACTCAGTGGTCAATGGATACTTGAGAATTTGGTAATGGTCCAATTTGTTCCTTGGTGTTGCACTGATGCGGGGATACTTGGGGTTCCTTTCCTTCTTCAATGTCCTTGGCCTGTGGAATGTGACGGATGTCCTGATCTTCTTGGCCTTCTTCTTAAAAGCAGGGCCTGATTTCACAGCCTTGGCAGTCTTCAAGGCTTGGGCCTTGGGATCACTTTTCTTCGTGCTTGCAACTGCAAGAGGCAAACGAATAACAATTGAGGTTAAATAGCATAATCATGGAAACTAACATGTCATTTAACTACGATTTAAAAAAGCAAAAATTCAATTAATCTTACGCCATTCTTGTCAGCAATAAAAATTAACACATAAACGGATAAATCATATTCCGCGAGTTCCACAAGACAACACCACACATTATGTATGATAGTACCTCAGATCAAAATGAAAATTCATAACATGGAAAATAACACGTCGTCTAACTATGACGCAGGTTCGCGAACCTCACTCTACTTAAACACGCATCGAAAACAAACATACACACTAGTGTATTAGCTACCAAAGTTAAACCAGACAAACTAGAAAAGCAGTGAAATGAGTATTAGTGGCATCCAAAAATGAGTTTCGCAATCAGTAATCACATGAATCAAATACGTTAAACCAAACAATACGTTTTCCCCAAAAACCTATTTTGTCAAAGTAATCGACTACATCAAATACAGCAATTAAAACCCATCAATTCATTTTTTCCAATAACCATTTTTCACAATGCAATCGACTACACAAACACAGCAATTAAAACCCAGTAATTCAATTTTTTTTCCAATTTCTTGGTATTATACAATATATATATATATATGTATGTATAGGTTGTATGAGAAAGGAGGTACCTTTAGCGGGGGCCATTGCTCCAAGCTCTGCGGGAAACAATCCTACCTAATAAACATTTCGTAGAAACAAAAAATAAGAACAAATTTAACCAATACGAACAGAAACAAGAAAAAAAAAAAAAAAAAACTCAAAACAAACGAGACAAAATCTAGAAATATAATTAACCAAAAAATTATGCGAAATCCCAGAGTCTTTAAGTACAAATCGAACTCGTTTAAGCTTCGTCAATGGAGGTATCTGGTTAGAAACCTGCTCTAGATTTCACAGATGGCGGTAAAAGGAGGGAGTTTGGAAGAAGTACCTGTAGACGAAGAGCAGCAGCTGCGGCCGAGGTGTAGGGTTTTCTAGTGGAGAAGACGAATCTCATCTGTTTATATAGTTACTTTCATTTATTTACTCCAAAAGCCATTATTCGCTATTGGGCTTTTATGTTTGGGTCTTGCTATATGGCTATTGGAGGCTATTGGGCCTCCATTTGGGTCCATATCATACAACTTTGATTTTTTTAGGACGTCGCATGAGCCCAGTGTTTGTAGGGTTGTACTGTGATTATCATTTTTGAGTATTGTACAATTTAATTATGGAGTGCCGATGTATGACAACACATTTTTACAAAACTTTTGACACAAGATTTTGTAGGGCTCACTTCATAATGTATATCAATGATCCGATTCATTTATCGTTTAAGTCTTCCATATCATATCTCCTAAAAATCATTCAAATCTGAATGAGCTCCTTAATTATATTAAGGGTCACTTTGGATGCGATCCTTATTTATCAACGTTCTTTGATTGAAATCTTGTTAGTTTTTAGTTTTTGATTGGGATCCCTGAAATTAATACAATAATACATTTCTATGTAGGTTATTATAATTTTAAATTAAATTTGATATTTGTAGTTACTTATATTAATGAGATATTAAATAAAATTCATGATTTGTTGGGTTGAAAATATTCAAAAAATAAATTATACTTATATAAAAAAAGTATAATTTATATTAATGACATGATTTGTCATTAAGATAAATTATATTTAAATAAAACACATTATTTGTCATTACTTATATTAATGACATTTTAAATACAAAAAATTGGTAATTTTTATATGATACTATTTACATACAAAAAGTTGGTACATTTTATACAAAAAAGGTGGTACGTTTTAGATGAAAAAATTAGTACATATTATATACAAAACAATGGGTACATTTTATATAATAAAACAATGGGTACATTTTAGATTAAAAAAATAAATACATCTTACATTAAAAAATAGGTACATTTTACATAAAAAACATGGTACTTACAAAAAAAAATTTGGTATATTTTACATATAACAAGGTGGAACATCTTTAAAGAAAAATAGGTACATTATCAATAAATTATTGGTACAAAAAAAAAAGGTTGAAAAAATGTGTAAAAATAAAGGTTTGAAAAATATGGACATAAAAAGAAATTAATATATGGGTACAAACTAAAACTGAAAAGAAAATTTGTACAATTTGAAGAAAGGGCTGCAAATTAAAATGGGTACAAACTAAACATAAAAATATATGATACAAAATTTACCCATAAGTGTGTGTGTGTGTGTGTCAAATGTAACGTTTCTAACACTAAATGAATATATTTATTAATAAAATTTAATTATTTTGATATGTAAAATATTTTAGTATTGAAATAATTAATGATGTTTATTAAAACCAAGGGACTTTGATCAAAAATTGAAAATGAATAAGGTTTTGATCAACGGAGTTGAAAAATGAGGGATGAGAACCTATTTTCTCCTTATATTAATGTCCCAAAAACTATGATCAAATTATACAAATTGAATGCAATCGTAAATATCTTAACAATTACCGAGTCATTCATTCTCATATTTAGCAGCATATTTGTACGAAGGGGTATTCAATAAGGAACCAAACAAGAAGAAAACGAAAGGCAACGAAAACAAATTGTTAAGCATAGCAAAACATAATATTGTAGACATTAATGCCTTCACTTCCAAACAATCCCGCTTAGGGATCCTACAATCGTCAGAGTAAGAGTTCTCATCTATCATCTCCTTCGTTTTACTTTAATTGTCCAGCATCATGTAAGTTGCAACATCTTTACCGTACCCTTCCCCGCCACCAGCTGACCCTTCGGCGGTAGCTTGAGCAGCACAAGGCACCTCGATAGATATAGTATATTTGCACTGTGGCCAAACGGCCCTAGGGTCATCAGCAGCATAGCGGTGGTAGCTCCCACGCATGTACATCTTCTTGGCCATTGATTTATCACTTGTCACCAAATGTGGATCATCAGCCATATAAATTGCTCCGAAAGGACTAGTTTGGAGTCGTTGCGTATTTTCTTTTAAACTGTTTTTATTATGTTTTAAGACTAATCAACTGTAAAATAAAATAATTGATAGTTTGACAAACCATACAAGTATTGTGGGTATGAAAACAGTGTAAAAACGTTGGTAGTAAAAAATATTGTTTTGGTGGGTTCAAACTTCATTGGGCTCTTTCACAAAAAATGAAAATAAAAACTTTAAACGGGATCAATTTTGCATTGAAAATGCTCTAAATCACAAAAATTGGATGTTAGATCACACTCATTTGTTCCACTTTGTTGTCGATATTCTATCATTTTTTACTTTTTACGCATTCTTTTAATTTTTATCGTCAAATTGAATGAATTATAAAAAATTAAATAATAAATATTAACAATAAGTGAGTGTGATGAGTAAAAATTTGTGTGGATAAGTATGAGAAGCAAACACTTTGCATTATTAAATTGTGTTTACTTTTCTTTTCAAACTTGTGTAAAATAAGAGAGTGAAAAACATGTGGTAACACTACAAAAAAAAAGGGCTTTGGATACAAAATTAAGGGCACAAATATTTATTTTGTGGGTATAGAACAAATTTTACACACAAAAAATTGTATTTGTTTCCTCTTCTATAAGGGCACCAACTAATGTGCTCATTCTCTACAAAGTTGGCACAAATAATTTTCTCTCTCAACTTTTTCAAAACAATGGATTCAAATATATTTATTATATTACTTCAAAAGACACAATTAATTTTTTTTTATTATTTTTTTCTAAGACTTATGACTCACACCTTACTTTCTCTCCCTCTCTTTAATCCACCGACACCCTTAACCAATCCACACCCCATTCTCTCTCTCTCTCTCTCTCTCTCTCTCTGTCTCCCTCCTTCCCTTAACCCACCCACCACAGACTCTCTCTCCCCTCCTTAACCCACCCACACCCACTTCTCTCTTCCATCCGTTTCTCTCTTTACCAAATGGATTACTTTGGTCTCACACATATATATTAATCCTTAATCCTCAGTCTTCACTTCGTGAATTCGTCCCCTGAATCGCGATTCCACCCACAGTCCACACCACCTTGCCCGAATCGAGCTCTCAGTCTTAGTCCTCACTCCTCCTCACTCCACAAGGTAAGAATATCATGCAATAAACTCAACCAAAGTTCATGGATATTGTTTTATTTTGAATCTGGTTAGTGATTTTGAATATGGGTTATGAATCAGAGCTTTTGAAAACGGTCTCTGAATTAGGGATTTTGGATTAGGGTCTCTCTATACCTCTCTCTCTCTCTCTCTCTCACTCCTCTCATATCTGGGTTTTTCCTTTGTTTTTTTTTTCTTTGAAAAACACCAACACCACCCATGCATCATATTTGAGTTCGTGTTTTTTCATTTCGAGTTTATATCTTATGAGATCTGACATGTATATTTTGTATCTCGCCTTGTTGCTTATGGATTTGAGTTTTGAAATTATTTTACATTTTTTTTTCATACTTGCCCGTTGCATGCAATTTTGGATATGAATATGATGGATTTTTGGTTATTTCATACTGTGAGGTTTCTCGGTGACTGGTTTGGTCGACCCGATCCAACTCATATTGGAGCAGTTTAGAGCCTTGTTCACTCTGTCTCTGCAACCTCAAAGGCCCTGGCCTTGTCACGCCCCCATTGCCGGTTCGTATTCTTTATTTGTATGGAAGAATTTCATATCTATTATTATATTTACGGAGCCATGTTGCTTAGAATTTTAGGATTTTGGATCTTCAATTTTTGGAAAAGCGTAAGTTTTTTTTTATTGATTTATTAGGAGTTGTCTTGATTCCACCCCTCCCCCAATAATTATTTATTCGTTTTTTGACTTTTCTTTTATGGTGTGGTAGCATTGAAAGAAGAGGATTTAGTAATTGGATCTAGGTAGAGATGAAATCAGAAGTGAAATACAAAAAAATGTATTCAAATGTGAAGTTCTTAAGGTGCTAATGTTTAATCATGTTAGTACAAGTTTCATCATGGAAAATGTAATATCGTTATACTGTCTATGCTAACTTAAACAAATATTTACCAGGTATGTGATTAAACTAAGCAACTCACTTTGACCATAAATAATATACATACTTATATATTTCTATGATTCAGGTGAGTCAGGTGACCATGAGCTGAATGTATTATCTCCAACCCAAAAATTGCTTTTACAACCCGAAGTGAGGAATTTGAATCTTTGAGATGGCAGATCTGGAACTTGTAGGTATTGATTTTAATTAACTCTGTTTAGGTATAATTTTGGACTGATTGTGTTTTGAATTGACTATATTTGTGTTGGCTTCTGATGAATATAGTAGTCTATGTTAGCTGAGTGAGTCTTTTCTCACTGGCATCAAGCTAGAGATTATGTCGGTCTTCAACAGTTTTTGGCCATGGTCGCTGTTAATAGCATTAATTCCATTTGGTCAATTTCTATGGTTTGTTACAAAATGTACCCTGGTCTTTGTGTTTGAATACTAGAATCAAAATGAAGATGATAATATTTCTGCACCAAATCTGAACCTTGAGCAATTAGCCATGTAATCTTATGCAGAGTGTGATGAGTCTGAACAATGTAGTAATGTAGAGTCAGTTGTTATGGAGGGTGGACTTATTTTTGATGAGGAATATTTGTATACTTTCCTCATCCATTGTTGGTTGTTCTGGAGGGTGGAGTTGTTATATAAGAATCATCTTAAAGCAAGTGGTGGAAAGACCCTTGAAGCAAATAAGAGTCCTCCCACAAAGGTATTCCCTTCTTACCTTCTTTATCCCTTCATTTTCTTTGCTCCTGTAAAGTGTGTGGTTTTTCTTTTTCTTTGCATTTGTTATTCATGACTTCTGTGAGAGTCCATATACTGCATGTCATCTGATTAATTCGTTTATGGAGCAGCAAAGATTTGATGAGGTGCAAGGCCTGCTGGGAAGATGCATCTATCCAAAAATGTTTGCTTTCAAGTTTTTTTTTCTTCTTTGGGTATTAGAGAGAAAATATGTAACACAACAATATATGTTTGTGAGATTCATAAAGTGAAAGTTGGTTTCATGGTTGTAGGCATTCTTCATTTCGTGAAAATTTAAATTTTTGCATTTCCTCAATTTAGATTCAATTTTGATTTTTTTTTATTAATTAATTCATGTTGGCACAATTACAATATAAGTGCCAACATAGCTGGAAAAGCTGATTTGAAAAGTTGTCAGAACGGGGCACAAATGGGCCATTATTTGTGCTGGCCTCTCTGGCACAAACACCCCTATTGTGCCCTTTTAGAAATGGTGACGCCCATAGAGGGCACAGACATAGAGATAGTAGCTGCACTGTTGCTATTGGTCTATGAGCACAATTGTCAGTGCTTTTTGGCCTCAAAGGGCACAGATAATTTATTGTGTGCAATGCTCATTTTTCTTGTAGTGTAACTATTTAGTGGTGGTGTGTGTACGAGCAAGACTGCATCAGCTTGGACGCTGATTCGACTACTTTTCTTTTTCCAAAGGACAATAATGGAAGACTCACTCTTGCCTTATAGTCTAGCTGAAGACTTGTAGTTGTCTTCTTGTACGGGAAAAAGCTTCAAGTTCGAGAAAATTGTTAGTATTAAGTTTAACTAAAGTTGGACGTTAATCGTATAAAGTAAATTATTAAACAAATCTAGTTCAAATATGATTTCGTGTTAGACTATTTGAGCTTGAATTTCGAATAAACCATGTATTCATATTAGGTTCGTAATTTAAGAGTTGTTGGCCAAGTGGTCAGATCCTTGTTTTGCTCCAAAGTGATATGGAGTTCGACTATCTCCCAGTGTACCTACCTAGCAAAATGCTAAAGTTTCTTGCTTCTCAAATGTAACGAGGGACCTAGTGACTATTCGAGTCAAAGACTCAGACTGTCCATTCCATTCAGAAACAAACACCTCCTAGAAGATTCAGACTGTCCATTCCACAATACTTGCAGTTGAAATGCAAATAAAGTTGAGGTGTTCACGCTTCCTTCGTACCAAGGAACACGGTGGTCAGGACCAAGTTTGAGTGCAACGATGCCCTCAGCAATTTGAGACCCTACGTACAAGAATCAGATCACACATTAGATCGACGGAAAAATATGGACTCACAAAATTGAGAGAGGAATAAAAAACAGATGTAATTAGGTACTTTTCAGACCTCTTCCATGGTAAGATGGACCACCTTCTCTTCAAGGGCACCGACATCCCTGACGTTGAACCTGTTAAGCATGGTTATGCTTGAAATGGTAGACATAGGCTGCACTTCCAGGTCATCCATAATCATATACGTGACAACACCTTTCACATACCCTCCCTCGCTGGACGTTCCTCTTTCAGCAGCGGATCCATGGACAAAAGTCGCCTTGGTATTTATGCTTGAAATGCAGTGTGGACAAATGGCTTTAGGGTTGTCCGTTACAACGGTTGGATTTCCACTGGATCCGTTGTAGTAAAATTGCTGGCGGCGACTAAGACAATCACAATAATAGAATGACTTTTCAGCAGTGGAGTCGTCTATCATCAGCATATGAAGGACATCGGCACCAACACCAATCGCTGCTGTTGCCTTAGGTTTCAGGAGGGATTCCTTGTTAAAGTAAGGTTGCATGTATATGCTGCTTAGGCTCTTGACACTGCCGTAAAGTTTGCCTAACGAGCCAACCATGCCATCTTTGGAAAGGAGCCCGATGACAGTGCCAATGGGCAAAGACAGGAGTGTGAAGAGAAAGTCCACAAAGTCTTTGCCAGCTTCAGCAAAGAGAACTCGTTGACGCTTTGTGTCGACAAGGAGCTTCAAGCAAATACTTGGCTTGGGGTTTGCCATGCACACAGAGAGTTTTGATGAGTATATTTTTCAAGCAACTAAAGTTTAGTGCATCATACTTGCAATAATGGACCTATTTATAGAAGTTCAACCCTTCATTAAAAATTACTAACAAATCTGAATTAGCTAAAACTTAGGCCACAAAATTGATTGACAAGTTTTAGTCGGTTCACTTTTGGCTATACGTCTGTAGTGTTCTATATTTTATTGGATAAATACTTGCATACTTTTTTTGGGATGAGCATGAGCTCATTTCCTCTTTGCGAATGACATATTTTGATTGTAAAAATTTTATAATCAAAATTGTTCAATTTCTTAGTTTTCGTTTGAAGATAATCCTTTACAAAAGATCATTTCAATCGAAGATCATTTAGTCTTTCAAATGTATAGAACAAATTGAAGGCGTAGATACTAAGTAATATATTCATGATGAATCGTTCATTTATTTGATGAGTGATTGAACAATTCTGATTGTTGATTTTATCGGTCAAGGTACAGTATTCACAAATAGGGAATGCAAATATTATATATTCTATTTTAGGGATTGACTACAATACTTATATGTATAAATATAATCACTATGTGATAGTCAGATAGAATTCATGTGAATATATATATATATATATATATATATATTTAATACAACGATCATCTGACTATTGAATAATAATTCTATCAAAAAAGTATAAAAACGTTCCAAAAATCGGCCTAAGCTGCCACTAGGATTAACTCCTAATTGATCAAAAAACCAAAACGTCAAAGTGGCGATTTTTTTAAATTTAAATATAAAAATATGCGTGGTATTCCTCTTCACTTTCAAATGAGAGGTCTTAAGTTCGATTCTCGTTAAAGAAAAATTTGAACCACATTATTGCTAGCCCATTGTGAGATTTAGCTCACTCCCTTATTTTCTTAGTGTAGATAATAATATCGTTTGTTAAGAAAAATATAGATTATGCATTGAGAATCCTCTATATCACAAAAATTGGATGTTAAATCACACTCATTTATTCTACTTTGTTGTCGTCGCTGAAATTTTAATTGATGAGTATGCATGAGCTTTTTACGAAAGGCAAAGACTTTTGTATTAATCAATTGGATCATTAAATTATGTTTATTTTTCTTTTCAAACTTTTGTAAAAATAAGAAAGTGAAGGGAAACATGTAGTGGTAAAATATTAGAGGTTGAATTTGTACGAAAAGCAAGACTGATTGTGCTTGGACGCCGATTCCACTCTCTTTTTCCACAACTTTTCTTTTTCTAAAGGAAAATAATGAAGGACTCACTTTTATCTTATGGTCGAAGTAAGGTTCGTATATCAAGTGTACTAATATAATTAGTTGAAAATTTAATAAAAATATTTTTTAACTAATTATATTATGATACTTGATGCCGTATTCTCGACACATTGAGAATTTTCTGTTAAAAGACTTGTAATTGTCTTCATTTATAAGTTTTAAGCTCGACAAACTTATTACTATTAAGTTTAACCAAAGTTGGGTGTGAATTAGATCAAGTTAACTATAAACAAGTCTAGTTCAAATATGATTTCGTGTTAGGCTATTTGAGCTTGAATTCGACTCAAGCATGCATTCATTTTAGGTTTTTCGTCAAAACACAACCCAACGCACAATATCTTTAGAAACCATGGGTGGACTAAGATTAGTGAAAGAAACCTTAAATTAAGATTCGTAAAAGAAACCTTTTGTTCAACTAAACCGACAAATTGGTGAAAGGAGAACTGTCTTTGAATGCATGTTATCTTCCCCCCAAGGAACACATTGGTGAGAACCGTCCTTGATTGCAATGATTCCTTAAGCAATTTCAAACTCTTAAAAAAATGCACAACATAAAATTTTTATCAATCTAGAATACATAAATGGGATACTGTGTCAAATTAGCTAGTTCACAAACTTTGGTGTGTTATAGATCTGCTGTCTGCACGAACTCTCTAGAACACCCGTCCTATCTTAAACGACAATGTTGAACCATATATTTCACGAAGAAAATAAATATTAGACCTTACAAAAAAAAGTAGGAGCATGATATCCACGTACCTTATTTTACTTCTCACACACCTTTTTAATTTTCGGTCGTTAAATCGGATGAATTGAAAAAGATCAATGGACAGAAATTATCAAAGGGTGTGAGAAGTAAAATGAAATGTGTGGATAGCACACCCCAAAAAGTATACAAGAGCTTTAAAGAGCGCCAAAAGAAGGGAGAGTGACAACTGTATTTGCAAGCTTCGGCAAACACAACTTTCTGGTGCCTTCAGTCGATAAGGAGCTTCAGACCATTTCGAGTAGTGAAACAGAAATGATGCTTGAAGCGAGAACGTAGCTAGCCAAACAGTCCAAATACAAAAGTACACTGGATCAAACCCTACACTAGAAGCGAAAATGCAGACAAATGATCTGTTTTGAGTGAAATCCAATTGTTTCAAACTAACATTACTAATTATTTAGCAGAATCCCACAATATTATGTTTTATTTTGGATGTAAAATCAAAATAAGAAGAGACAAAGAGATGGCGTTAAAGGTACCGGCGGTAGCGTTCACGTTTGTGGTAGACACGCTTGGGGTTGCGGCTTTGGCTTTGGTGTTGGTGTTGGTTTGGACCATTCATTTCAGAGGAGGTTTGGCATGGGAAGCTACCAACAAGAACCTCATCTTCAACGTACGTTTCTCTCTCTCTCTCTCTCTCTCTCTCTGGTTTTCTTAGGTGTAGAAATAACTTCTTCTTTTGTTTAATTTTCTATACATGTGCCTTAATTTGATGCTAAAGTTATGCTTCTTCTCGATTGATATATTCGAAATTTTGTAGCACGAATAACAATTTAGTCATATACTAATTGAGTTTAGTGGCATTGTAGGACACGATTAAAGTGCAATAGTAAGCTAGGGTTGCCTTTTGCTTAAGTGTAGGCGAAACTAATGATACATGGACCCCTTAAAACCCTTTTAATTTTCTGATTATTTTTAGAAACATTTAAGTACCTTTCCCTAGTTCACCTACCATTCTTACCAAAAATATGTTATGCCTACTCTCGACACAATGTTGTTATTCTAATATGACTGTATTTTCGAAGTATCAATAGCAGTTTTCTAATAATATATTTTATTGACCACGACAATTGTTTTTTTTTTTTTTTTTAATTTTATAAATAAAACAAACTATTTTACTATGTGGTTATTAGGGTAAATCAAATCATGGGAAC